ATAAACTCACACACCCTCCTCACATTTGGTGAGGTTTGAAACCTTTTTTTTTTTTTTTTTTTGAAAACATCTATTCATATACAACAATTATATGAACACATAAAACTTAATACCAGATCATTTTCCACTTTTCAAGCTAATCATTTAGCTATTAAAATCTCATACCGCTGAACCAATCAGGTTCCATACAATGCCACTTTTTAAACCTTTTCTTATTAAACAAGGTTTAAACAAAGTTTCAGGCCAAACCTGTTATTTTCTCCTCAATAACATTCAGACTATGATTTCCTATAAGAACCATGATTCTAAATCTTTAAATCACAAAGAAATAAAGATTCCAAACCACGGTAGTCTTAAGGGATATAATAGAAAGAGTTATATAATACAATCACACATTCAAATGCCACCCTTATATCAAATGTACATCTCTCCTTGATATGCCACCCTTATCCCATGGTACACCTTTCCTTGATATGCCACCCTTATACCAAATGTACACCTCTTCTTGATATGCCACCCTTATTTCTTCATCAAAACATTTCATAAAAATAATTCCAAATAGACTGCAACCATTGAAATTATTATCATTCCAAAATAATTTATAACAAATCTCAATTTGATGATAAAATAACAGTTTTTGACTTCCAATCATAAAACACAACTCAAAACCGATCAAAATAGGCTTGGTCGGTCTTCATCTCCGGTCAAGTCTTATCCGATTTAACACTTTAGCTCAAATTCCAACTTTGTCCGATTTACAAATCCGGGCAACACATCAATCAAGGTTTAATCGGTTTAACACTTGGCAYAAAATTCTAACTTTGTCCGGATAACAAATCCGATCAACGCCTCATCCAAAGCTTTGCCCGATTTAACACTTAAAACATAATTCAACTTTATCCGGATATAAGTCCGGACAATACCTCGATCAAAGCTTGACCGATTTATAATTTAAATAACTTTGTCCGGATACAAATCCAGACAACACCTCGCACAACCCTTGTTCGATTTAAGCAATATCCGGACAACTCACCGTTCAAGGCTTCCGATTTAAAAAGATATCCGGACAAGCTTTGTCAGGTTTAACACTAATCCGGTCACTCTTTGTTCGGATAAAACTTTAAACACAAGATATGGTTTTTGATTCAAATAATAAATAACATTCAAATAAAAACCAATATAAATTTTTATGCCAAAAAGGTTTAGAAATCACTCACCTTAACATGCTGTTTGAAATCAAACACTTGAAATCAACCCTTTTGAAATCTGATCAACTCTTCCTCTTAAAACACACAACTTTCTTTCTCAGAAAATAACCAGAAGAAGAAAAGTGGGAGAGGGAGGGGCTTCACCCCCTTTATATACTCTCCAAAAGTAAGTCGGCTACACATTCTACCTCATGCATACTACAGATTCCACCTCATGCATCCTACACATTCCACCTCATGCATCCTACACATTCCACCTCATGCATCCTACACATTCCACCTCATGCACACATACATACTCATATATATATATATATATATATATATCCGTACACCATGCATACATACTTCATGCACATATGATTATATAAATATATACATACCCATATCAAGCACATATATCATGTATATATATTTATATATATATATACTTCCACATGTGTACATATTCTCATACACATAATCACATTATGCACATGAATTCCATACACTAGCATGATCAAATAAAACAATTTTATCATGCTATTACGTAATAATATAGTCAGATAATCACATATTTATTACCTCGAGTGATAACCAGGATCCAATTATCACATTATCCACCCCTTAAAAGAATTCCGTCCCAGAATTCCTTTAATAAAAAAGCCATGGGTATTCTGATATCATCTTTGACTCCAGTTCCCATGTCGCTTCCGGTCCTTTATGAAACTTCCACTGAACCTTTACCAGACTTATTTCTTTGTTTATTAACACCCTGATCTTTCGGTCAATTACGGCTTCTGGTGTTTCCACAAAATGCAGCTTATTGTCTAATTGAATCTCTGGTAATGGTATATCTAAACTCTGATCGACCAAACATTTCCGCAAATTCAACACATGAAAAGTGTTGTGAACTAGACTCAGCTCTTCTGGCAGCTCTAGCTGATATGCTACTGGCCCAATTCGCTTACATATTCTGAACGACCTTACATACCTCGGATTGAGCTTTCCTTTCTTTCCAAATCTGATAACACCCTTCCATGGCGAAACTTTTAACATTACAAAATCACCGATATCAAATTCAATTGACTTTCGACGATTATCTGCATAACTTTTCTGGCGATCTTGTGCTGTTTTGATTCTTTCACGAATTTGTTCAATCTTTTCAGAAGTTTCTTGAACAATTTCAGGACCCGTTAGCTATTTTTCACCCACTTCATTCCAACACAACGACGTTCGACATTTACGTCCATACAACACTTCATATGGTGCCGCTTGGATACTGGAATGATAACTATTGTTATGTGCAAACTCTATCAATGGCAAGTGATCTTCCCATGATCCTCCGAAATCAATAATACAACTTCTCAACATATCTTCGAGAGTCTGAATAGTTCTCTCACTCTGCCCATCAATCTGCGGATGATAAGCTGTACTCAATCGAATTTCAGATCCCAAAGCTTTCTGCAATCCTCCCTAGAACTTTGAAGTAAACCGACTGTCTCTATCAGAGATAATAGACAATGGAACACCGTGTCTAGTAATAATTTTTTTTGATGTAGATCTGTGCTAGCTTTTCTAAAGAATATTTTTCTCTTATTGGTAGAAAATGCGCAGATTTTGACAGACGATCAACAATTACCCAAATCGCGTCATACCCCTTTGGAGTTCGWGGTAACTTCATAACAAAATCCATGGTAATGTGATCCCATTGCCATACAGGTATCTCTAAGGTTTGAAGATTTCCATACGGCTTTTGATGTACGATTTTAACCTATAAACATGTCAGACACTGTTCCACATATCGAGCTATATTTCTTTTCAACCCTGGCCACCAATAAAAAGGTTTCAAATCTTTATACATCTTATTGGTGCCTGGATGAATAGAGTATCGAGACTTATGGCTTTCATTTAATATCATATTTCGGATATTTCCAAAATATGGTACCTAAACTCGCCCTTGAAAGCACATTAGTCCTTCGTTATTCTGTTCCAAGGTTGAAATCATCTTATCCAACCTTTCTGCTTTAACAAAATCTTCTTTTACAACTTCTTGTTGACATCTCTGAATTTCCTTACGAATGTCAGGGATCAAATTCATTCTCATTGCTACTGCTTTAATGGTTCCACTCTTTTCTTTTCTACTTAAAGCATCAGCTACCACATTAGCTTTTCTCGGATGGTAAAGGATTTCACAATCATAATCATTAACCAGTTCAATCCATCGACGCTGTCGCATATTATTCTGGTTGAACAAATGTTGTAAACTTTTATGGTCAGTATAAATCTGACATTTCGTTCCCAGAAGATAGTGTCTCCAGATTTTCAGAGCAAATACCACTGCAGCTAATTCCATGTCATGGGTTGGATACTGCTTCTCATGATCTTTCAATTGTCTTGACGCATAAGAAATCACTTTTCTTCTTTGCATCAGAACACATCCCAACCCTAACTTTGAGGCATCGCTATAAACCACAAAGTCTTCAGATCCATCTGGTAAAGTCAATACTGGTGCACTACAAAGATGATCTTTTAACAATTGAAAAGCTTCTTGCTGTTCTTCTTCCCACTGAAATTTAACCTTCTTTCGAGTCAATTTAGTCAATGACACGACTATCTTAGAAAAGTTCTGAATGAACTTTCGGTAATAACCAGCCAATCCTAAAAAGCTTCGGACCTCTGAAAGATTTTTCGGAGCTTCCCATCTTGCAACACCTTTTATTTTTGTTGGATCTACTTTTACTCCTGATTCTGAGATAACATGACCCAGAAATTGAACTTCTCTTAACCAGAACTCACATTTGGACAATTTAGCATACAACTTTTCTCTTTTCAACAATTCCATTATCAAACAAAGATGTTTTGCATGATCTTCTTCAGTCTTAGAGTATATAAGAATATCATCGATAAATACAATAACGAATTTATCAAGATACTCTTTACATACCCTATTCATTAAATCCATAAAGGCTGCAGGCGCATTAGTTAAACCAAATGGCATAACTAAGAATTCATGATGCCCGTACCTTGTTCTGAATGTTGTTATAGCAACATCTTCTTCTCTGACCTTGAGCTGATGATACCCTGATCTTAAATCGATTTTTGAGAAATAACTTGCCCATACCAGTTGATTAAACAAATCATCAATCCTCGGTAAAGGATATTTGTTTTTGATTGTTAACTTATTCAATTCACGATAATCTATACACATTCGCATAGACCCATCCTTCTTCTTAACAAATAAGATCGGAGTACCCCAAGGTGAAGTGCTGGGTCTAATAAATCCTTTATCAGTCAAATCTTTCAACTGTGCAACCAATTCTTTTAATTCAGATAGAGCTAAACGATACGGCGCCTTTGCTACTGGTGCAGCTCCTGGTATAAGATCGATTCGAAACTCAATGACTCTATCTGGTGGTAATCCAGATAAGTCTTCTGGAAAAACTTCTGGATATTCATTAACAATCGGAATCGATTCTTTTTTTTTTCTTTCTTCAAATCAATTACATATGCCAAACATCCTTGGCACTTCTTTCGAATACTTTTCTGAGCTTTCATTACTGACAAAATATTAGTGTGATGATTCTGACGATCACCATAAATAACAACTGTTCTCTGGTCTGGCAGAATAATTCTGATCATTTTCTGATTACAAATAATACTAGCCTGATACTTTGCCAACCAATCCATACCCACTACTACGTCAAATTCTTTCATTGGCATGAGAAATAACCGGATCGGAAGTTTACAGTCCTCAATAACAATATTACAGTTATTGAACACACTAGTAACAGTTTCTTGACTATTAGCAGTATCAACTACTAATTCATCATTAAGTAGCACAAAATTTAGACATATAGCTTGAGCAAACAATGGTGATACAAACGAAATGTTTGCACCAGAGTCAAATAACACTTTAGCACATATTGAATTCAGAAGAAATGTACCTGTTACTATATCTGGTGATGCTTCTGCCTCGTTCTTAGTCATTTGGAAAGGCCGTCCCCGTGCTCCTCTTTGCCCTCCTCTGTTCACCGTAGGCCTTCCCCGTGTACCCGACTTATTACTCCCCATTGTTAATTGTGGAGTTCTTAACAATGGACAATTCGGTCGAATATGATCCGGAGAATTGCAATTAAAACACCTTTTTGTTAGTTGGACAATTTCTAGATAGATGGCCTGCTTCACCACACTTGTAACACTTCCTTGGATCCATCTTACACTCACCTTGATGAATCTGTCGGCACTGTGAACAGACTTTTTCACTGCTCTTCTGTTCAGATCTGTTGTCATATCTTACAGGTTTTGGTCCTCGAAAAGATGAAGGCCCCTCTCATTTTCTTTTCTCAACAATCTTTCCTTCTGATTGTCTATTCTTATTTCTTTTAGTCACCTCAKCTGCCTCTACTGTTAATGGAAAGGTATTGGGGTTCATAGCAATAACGAATTCCCTAATTGAGGGTTTCAGACCCCAAATAAACCTTTCTATCTTCCTTGATTCAGTCGAAACATAGTGTTAGGCAAAACGAGAGTATTCAATAAATCTTTCAGTATACTCTCGAACCGTTCCATTTCCTTGCTCTAACTTCAAGAAATCTTCCTCCATTTGTCTCACAGCCGTTTTTGGACATAACTGATTTTTAAATCTATCCACAAATTCTACCCACGACAAAGTCTGTAAAACATCTGTTCTGGTAGACGATTCAACTTCCCACCAAAATAAAGCATTTGACTTCAATACCGAAATAGCAAATCGAACTTTATCTGTTTCCGGACACCGAATGGTGTTGAACACAGATTCCATCTCTTTGATCCAGCACATAACTTTCATTGGATCTCTCTCCCCAGAAAAGGTTGGTGGTTTGCATGCTAAAACCATCTTAATATCTCCTTCCTTAGTATGATTAACTGGAACAGAGGGATGAACTTCCACTTTTTCCGTTTCCACCCTAGCCGATATTCCCATGATAGATGTCATAGTTTCCTGCAATTTCCCTATTTCCTCTGCCAACATATCCCGAGTTATATATTCTGGGTGTGGCATCGATCTCTCCTGAATATTCCTAGAGTGAGATTCTTCATATTCAGAATGTATTTCAGTCCGATCCCTTCCCTGAGACTGACTTCTTCCTCTGCCTCGTCCCCTTGGTCTTCCCCGACCTCTATTTCCAGACGTACTAGTTGGAAGATTAACAGGTAACTCTTCCCTTTCTTCAGACCCTGGACGAGCCGTTCTTTCAGATCTTCTAGTTTGGCTAGACATCTGCAGAGTTTAGTATTAATAATCATGTATTCACATTCTCAAATATAATGCAGTATTCAAGTTCAAATGTGTACCTGTAAATTCATAATTACACTGGCCAGATGTAATTAAAATTTACCTTACACACTGTTCTTTCAACCCATCATATTTATTTCCAATGGTGCTAACTATGTCAGGGACCCTTAACATGCAATAAAACAGTTTAAGTCTAGGTATCATGCTGTTAAATA